GAATGTAACTGTACATGATCTTAATATGTGTACCCACCAACCCTGTGAGGTATATACTATTACATCTATTTTATAAGTGAGGAAATTCGATTTTCAAAATTCAAACACAGATACTGGTGAAGTCAAGACAAACCCAGCTCTGTCTAACTCCAAAGGCTGTACCTTCTTTTGAATGAAGGGAGAAGGTTCATGTGGTTGGGTGTTACTGGAATGTAAAACATTCACTGCAAAAGTTTAATTTTTACTGCAAGCCACAGATGCATTTATATACCATGATACCTTACAAATGTCAATAGTCTGTCATTGAACATTTGGGTAGGGAAGTGACAGAAATGACTAAAGCATAAACACTAATTTAAAACACATTTAATTATAGGACCCTATAGGTTTTGCAGATTAGAAAGTATACCTTCTCTCTATTTAAGGCCATAATTAGAAGCAGAGATATTCATCTGTAACCAAATTTAGAAAGGGAGGCAAAGTTTCAGCTTTCAGTCAGAGGCCAAAATTTAGAACAGAGAGTCAGTACATCTAAGCTAAATCTAAAACTCATTGAGGGAGATTTGGAGGAGGTGGAAAGACCGCTTTTCATAATTCTAACAAGTGCAGTTGAAGAAAGAATCTGCTGGGATAAGCTTGTGTTTGAAAAATTTGACACAGGCAGACTTTGAATGTGGCATAGTATATAGGCTTATATCTGAAGTTGCTTTCATCTAAAAACATTTTCAAAGGACCCAAGCCCACCTGGCTTTTCCCTATACACTTGGCTTCCATGCTCTTTATAGAAGTAAATAACTTGCTGTGAATATTCAATTTGCCTTTTTGTTAGGCAGGGTATACAGGCCAAGGGGAGAACTGAGAGGGTGGGAGGGTAGGGGGAGAACAAAGGAAAGTCCACTCCAGGACTTCTCCATTGACCCACGGCGCCCACCCACTGAATGATCCACAGGGCTTGCCAGGGGAGCATGCATGCCGGGCTAATGGGGCATGGAGATCAAGCTGGACTGGAGCTCTGAATGCTGCTGAGTGCCTTCCAGCGCTTAGCACCTGCAGATGCTTGGGGAAACTGTTTCTCCTCTAACAGCTGTTCTCCACGGGAGTTCAGGCAAGTGCCCATCAGCCAGGACAGGGAGCCACTGAGGGGCTCCAGACGGCCCACACAGACTATATCAATGTGTTCAGAACGTTGCAGAAAACAGACTCTCAAGGAATTCCTGTGGTGAGGGGATTAAACAATTCTGAAGAAATTCCTCACTGAAATATCTAGGCAAATAAGGACTCCTGGAAAGCCAACCACAGTGACCACAGTTGCAGGTTCCCAAGCTAGGATGCATATTTTATCAGTGCTGAACAGGAGAGCACTGTCCTCTGGACTCTCCCCATCTGCTTCATCCTCATTGTCTGGTGTCTGGTATTTTCAACACAAAGGAGAGGTGATGCCAAGCAAGCCTCCAGATTCTAGTTCCTTCTCCCAGGAGCCAAAACGCTGTCTGCTGTGAGTAAGCCATAGAGCAGGGGTACTGCTTCAAAGGCCGTGGGGAGTTTTCCACGTTGGCTCCCAGGCCAGTTAGGTGTGCAGTGTTGGAAATTCTAATTCTGGATGAAAAGAATCACCCCACTCCCAGAGGGATAGGACAGATAAAATGGGGAAAAGTCTGCCACAAGAAGCCGACATCTTCATCCCAAACCACCTCTGCTAGGGAAACATCATTTTAAACTTTTCAGAATCCCTATTAAAAAAAAAAACAAACAAACCAAAACCTTTATTCACTGCTTTACATAGTCCTCCTGAGAAATCTTGATTTCTCTGAAAAAAAGACGAGGGTCTGGCAGGGGAGGTATTTATTGCTCTTACTGATCATCTCTGGAAAATTCCTTCTAAAACCTGACCTCTTCATTTTTTTCCTTCCCCACCATGAAGATGGATTATCTTGCATAACAACATGAAGGACACCAGGAGCAAAGCAGGCCTTTGCTTCACCTCCTTGCCACACCTTTCTATGCCCTTGTTCCCAGCTCTCCATTCTGGGAATGTCCTTTGAATTGGGGCCAAGGTAAGAAGGCATGAGGCCTCCTTGCCACTAGGTCAGAGACTGAGAGGTTTTGAGTAGAGGTTTCCTCTAATGAAATGAAAGCTTCACCATATGCCAGATGGAAAGAGTGCCAAAAGAAACTGTGTTTCTTGAGCTGCCTCGGTAGGAGGGACACTACCAGTGTCAAGCACGGTGGGACCGGGGGAGCCAGGCCCGGGAAGGTAGCCATTCGTGGTTTTGGGACCTGGTGCAGCTGTTTCACATGGAAAGGGTCAGCTGCTCGGAGCAATAATTCCGGGAAGCTTGTAGACAAATGAATTCGTAACATCCTTTACAACTCTTGGGGTGTCCAGCTCCCTCCAATCTCCGCGCTTGCTCTCTCTCTTCAGTGGCTACTTATTTTCAGGAATGAGATGGAAGATAAATGACAGCAACACTTGGAGAAATGCCTCCAGACCAAGAAGACACATTCTTGGAGCAAACTTTATTCCCAGGTGGTCTTGATGAGGGAGACCAAGGTGCGCTATGGGAGTGCCTGTCACTGAGTGTCTGAAATGCCTGTTTCTTTTCTCTGACACAAGTCACGCTGCACTCCTGTGTTTAGCACTTTGCAAAGAGCAAAGCAGATGTCGGCTGTTGAAGAATGCATGCAAGCCTGAAGCCAGCAATACTGCAATCCACCAAATAAATGTGATGGAATCCATAGCGCCTCTGCTCACAAGTTTCCTCACTGACGTCATTTCAGGGGAAGCCAAAAATAAATAGCGAAATATGCAGGAAGAGCCCAGACAGGCTGAAGAGGTTGAGTTTTTCAAGCAAACAGCAACAGCAGAGGGACTGTTTCTCTGCAAGGGAGGGGGCTCGGGGAATATGGTCCACACATATGTGAAGCAAACCTTTGCACTTCACCAGGTTACATTTTCAAGCTAAAAATGTTTTACCAGGATACATTTTCAAGTTAAACCCAGATGAATAATGGTAAAGAAAAGGAAAAAAAAGCAAGAAGGCCTTCCTTGGCTCCAGCAACAACAGCTAGAGACCTTCATTAATCACGTAATTGTGTATCTGAAGTTTTGCTTGCTGGAAATAAAACTCAGGCAGGTAGCTGCAATTACCCTGCAGGCAGCCGGCTGAGGCCTCTTTGTCTTCAGTAGGAGGAGGACATGAGGAAGTGCCCAGGGATTCTAGGCTGAGGAATCCTTATTATGTTCCTTGCACCTGCATACACGTATTCTGGCAAACCCACACTTCACATTTAAAGTAGTAAACCCAGGTTTCCCACATACTAATGGAAGATGTTAGGTCTGAAAGAACACAGCAGAAATAAAATGCACATGAAGATTCTGGATTCTGGGCTGGGCACAGTGGTTCATGCCTATAATCCTAGCACTTTGGGAGGCCAAGGGAGGATCACTTGAGGTTGGGAGTTCAAGACCAGCCTGGCAATATGGTGAAACCTCATCTCTACTAAAAATACAAACATTAGCTGGGTGTGGTGGCACATGCCTGTAATTTCAACTCAGGCAGGAGAATCGCTTGAACCTGGGAGGCAGAGGGTGCAGTGAGCTGAGACTGTGCCAACATTGCACTCTAGACTGGGCAACAGAGCCAGACTCCAGCTCAGAAAAAAAAAAAAGACTTCAGATTCTGTTCTATTCTTCTCTCCTATTCTCTAGACTGGGCAACAGAGCAAGACTCCATCTCAGAAAAAAAAAAAAAAGATTTCAGATTCTGTTCTATTCTTCTCTCCTATTCTAACTGTCCTATAGTAGATTAAGTTGGGGGTTTTTAAAAGCAATTGGGCAAGTTCATTCTCACTGTTGGTTGTGTGGACTTTCATGGGCCTCTTGCCTCTCAACGCCTCTGGCCTGTTGTTAGTGTTCTAACAAAGATCACCACTGCCATGGTCACCTGGCGTGTAGACAAGTAGCTACGTCTACATAAAAGGTTGACTTTCATTTGAACTATACATGCCACTGATAAGAAAGTTTTTGCTTCCATTAAATGTTCTTCTGGGAAATCAAAGAAGTTTTAGGCTGTGGTTTTTCTTTTAGAACCACCATGGGAATAAGGACTGTAAGACAACCTGACATCTCCTCTCTTTGATCTCACTTGCTGATAACTTTCTCCCATGCTCCCAGCCACTCAAAAAGCCAAGGGAGCAAAAGAAAATGTGTGATAGAACATTCTGGCTATCTTCTCTTAGCAAGATCTTGGCCTGTACAGAATATAGTTACTTACCTACTGAGGAAGTATTCTGGAGGAAGCAGGGAGAAGGAGAGCAAATGAGAAACCGAGTGCCCTCAAGCACAATGAAGACTAAAGAGTCAACCTTAAAAACAGGGGTAGCAAACCAGATTTGGTCCTCAGGCCAAATCTGGCCCGCTGCCTGTCTGTAAGTAAAGTTGAATGGCACACAGGCAGGCCTATTCATTTATGTTGTCTAGGTGGCTTCCATACTGGAATGGCAGAGTTGAGTAGTTGGAATAAAGACCTGGCTTACAGAGCTTCACATATTTACTGTCTGGCTTTGTGCAGAAAAGTTTGTTAATACTTGCTTCAAAAAAAATAGCATTTCCTTTAACCTTTGAAAGTAAGTGCTTGGGAAAGAGAGTTTAGTTAATCTGTAATGAATGGCAGGAGACACTTAATGGTGGGGAAGGGGATCTCAGAGGCCTTAGGAGTTAGTGCACTGCAGTTCTTTTGTAGGATAAAGAACAAGTGGCCTTCAATTTTTCTACTGCATCCTTTTCTTAGCCAACTATTAAAGGCCCCACTTCTCCATGTGTACAGATTATAGGCAGCTTTACACTCCGTATTTATGAGCAGTGAGATCGTGACATCTAAACACCCCCTCTGCTGGTTCCCAGGGTAGGTGAAAGAAGGAGCTGTTCCCTTCTACCTAAGGAATAGCTGAGTGTCACTGGCTGTAACTACTACACTGGTGGGCAGAGGCCATTGCCATACCTGTTGGCCAAAAGCTGAGACCTAGTTCCTGAGGGTGAGGTCAGGTAGATGGCCAGGTCCCCTCTCCGGGGATGGGTGATGGTGATGCGCACAACCACGTGCTCCAGGTAGTTGACATGGCGGTTGGGGTTATCCGAGCAGCCTGAAGCTTTGTAGATGGAGCGTACTGCACTGTTAGGGCGGATTGTCCTGCAACAGAGAGAGGGAGTTTGAGCAAATGACATCACAGAGCTCAACTGAGGGAACCTGGAGGCGTGGAATAAATACACAATGTAAGACAAGCAGCTGATCGCTGGATACTAAACAATAGTGCTATCACCCAAATGACTGGGTCACTGAAAGGATTACCAGTTAGTGGGAAAGATGCAAGGGAGAGGTGAAAAAGGAATGAGGTTCTTTCACCTTCGTGCAGGTAGTAGATCTCAAACTTGAGGGTGCATTGATATCACCTTATCAACACACAGATTGCTGGCCCCAGAGTGTATGACTGAGTAGGTCTGGGATGGATCTCAACAATTTGCATTTCTAACAAGTTCCCAGGTGATAGCGATGTAGCTGATCTATGAAACAGACCATGAGAACCACTGCACTGTGGTACAGTGGAAGCTTGGGAATTAGCGTATGGGGGTTCACATCCCTCGTTCTGTAATCCACTAGCACATTTGTCCCTCTTGCCTACAGGTTCCTGTCTTCCTCTCTAGCTTCCTCCTTTGCCACAGTTTCCCTTGAACACTGGGGCTGTACACAATGGCATCAGATTCAACCTCTGGGATAATTCAAGTTTCCCACCTCGGGGACTTTGCACACACTACTCTGCCTGAGTACTTTCTGTTGTTGTTGTTGATGTCCTTATGGCTGGCTAAGTCTTCTTCCTTCAAGGTCAATGCTTAAATTTCCCCTCCCTGAGACCTTCATCGAGCCATAGGTGAAAATACGTCCAGTATCTCTTATTTTTTACATTTTTAAAATTTCCGACATTTAATTATAATTTGTAATTATCTGCTTATTACATTTTTGGTTTGATGCCTTCATTAGACTATAAGCTCCACAGGGTAGTAGGAAGCACTACTTATTCTCCTTTTTATTCCTAATATTTTGCTCAGTGCTTGATATTCAGTAAGTATGAGAAAAATACTTAGTGAATGAGTTTGTGAATAAATAAACAAATAATTCCTTTGATCCCATTTCCTCATTTGTCAAATGAGAATAAGACCCAGGTCATTAAACAGCTTTAAGAGGAAAACATACATGAGGTTTCTACCCTTGGCATGGCCCACAGTAAGTGCTCAATAAACACTGGTTACTTCCTACCCTTCTGTTCTCTCTCATTTTTTGCCACAAGAGTAGAATGAAATTAAACCCCAACAACTTTAGTTGATTTACTTTTGCTTCCTAAAAAATTTTCTCAAAAAGTATAATAACTCTAGTTTTATCATTAACCAAAGATCAAAAATACTTTTTCAGAGAGAAAAGTCACTGAACAGAAAGCCAAAAGAAAACACTAATAAGCCTACTCAGACTCCTGTTGGCAAACGCTGTCAGCACAGCCTCCAAGTCTGTGCTACTAAAACTGGGGAATAAGCCCTGAAATCTGTGAGAAAACTGCAATGTCATTTACTGTACATTTTGTACTACTCTTTGGATAACTACACTGTAAAGAGTTGTTACAGTTTTTAAAAGTACACTGACTTCTGGAGAATACTTGTAGCATCACATAGGAATACTGACAGTAGAAAAATTTCAAGAGCCCAGGGGTAAGCATATTCCACAATCCCTTTTAAAAAGATACTTTGTTTCTTTCCTTTTGTTTTTAGAGACAGAGTCTCGCTCTGTTGCCCAGGATGGAGTACAGTGGCACAATCTTGGCTCATTGCAACCTTTGCCTCCCAGGTTCAAGTGATTCTCCTGCCTCAGCCTCCCAAGTCGCTGGGACTACAGGCACATGCCCTCATACCTGGCTAATTTTTCTATTTTTAATAGAGATAGGGTTTCACCATGTTGGCCAGGATGGTTTCAATCTCTTGAGTTTGTGATCTTCCTGCCTCAGACTCCCAAAGTGCTGGGATTGTAGGTGTGAGCCAAAGATGCTTTTCTTTTAAGGATTCTTGGGCTATATTAGCATGAATTTAATAGCTCAGAATTCTAGACATTCTATTACAATTTCATAGTCACATAAGAGAGAAACTACAGAAGCTTTTAGCTTCCATTTCCAACAAGGGGCCATCTTGAGCAGTTGACTGGCTTGCTCTATTTTGGGGCATTGTCATGCTGTTTGCCAGCAGCAAGCATTACTTGATTTGTCGGTCTGTGCTCTCCACACACACGTGCTGCCGGGGAACAGTGGTCCACTTCTCTGCCTCCATCACCATGGCTTCTGCATCCATCAGTCCAAATCCATAAAGATGGCTCACTGTGGAAAGCAAGAGACTGGTCAGTTTCACTAAACTACGTATGTTGAGTTATAAGGTCACTCAGTAGAGACCCCGAACACACCCCTGTGGAATCCTAGCTATCTTTCCAGCAATGATTTAAAAAATAAAGCAAAACAAATATATAACCATGTCAAGAAAATAAGACATATATACAGTTTTCATTATCTATTCACTACCAGTAATATGACTATCATTTATGAATTGTTATTCCATGTCTACATTTTGACATTTAGTCCTCCTGACAATCTTCAGATGTTAGTGCCATTATTATTATTATTACCACCATTCATTAATGAGAAAACTGAAAACCAGACAAAAACTCAGCCAAGATTAACTAGCAAGTCAGTGGTTGAACTAGATTCCAGTGCACACAGTTTTTCTCCAGGGCCCCACTGTTTAATCACTTGCATTTAAGCGACGACATCATTGCTTTCATAAGATAATTAATAGGTTTAAAGAGAAGTAACAATGTATTATATGACTTCTCATAGTGCAAGAAGAACTTACATACAAGAGATAGCCATATTCTGACATATCTAGTAATTAGGTTGCCTACCTTAGAAGACATAAATTATTACCTTTCTTCTAGCATATACAAAATTTATTAAACTTTATCCATGAAATATTTGGAGGTCTCTAGACTTTTATGCCACTTTTGTGTCTTTGAATCTTTTAGGTCTCAGCATGCCTATTGATCTAAAGCTGAATTTGACATAACTGTCTCAGAAATTTCCATTAGGTACGGGAATACTTGATTGATACAGTAATATCTACATGTGTAGATCTTTCTAAAAATGCTTTAAAATTCCTGTTGGTACTTAAAATCTCCACTTCTTATTGAACCATCTCATAACTTTATATTCAATACTAGGTCATACTTCCAGTTTTTGTCTAAAACGTTTTTTATCATCACATGAATAATTTTATGCAAATGTTTATATAGCTGCCCGTGCTTATGGATTATTTAAATACATCAGCTTAATTGTCACATTGTTGTCAGATGTAGTTCCATTCTACTTGCAAAACAGTCTCATCATCAAACCTTTTGCTTTAGGAAGGCTACTCTTAGAGATCTCAGTCAGAGGCTGCACTTTCTGCCTCTCTGCCTTTGTCCGGGCTGAGCACTAGGCCTGACTACCCCTCATTATTTCTCTCTGCAGAGTTAAGCCCTACTCTAAGTTCCTGAAGGCCTGGCTAGTTGATCTTTCCCTCTAGAAGTATTCACTGACCAATAAAATACTCAAAAGACACTTACTGAAATTCGACTATCTGTGACCAGTGAACTTTTCTCCTTTCTACTCTGGTAAATAATTTGTCAATCCATCTGCCCTCCTGTCCATCCATCCACCTCTCCATCCATCCATCATTTATTGAATGCCTTTGATGTAACACACACTGTATCGGGCACTGCACTTTTTGTCCGTTCCATGAATTTCATTGCCAAATTAAATCTCTCTGTCAGCAAATGTCTTTTTACTCCAGCTGCATTGTAAACTGCTTGATGTCAGGAACTGGGTCTTGTTTCTTTATATGTTCTATGTTAACATAACTTGATGCATATAAGAGGACAAATAAATTACAGCATATAAAAAAGGGACATTGTGCTAGCATGAAAAAAATATGGTCTTATTTATGTGATTTGCTAATCACATAATTCTCAGCAAAGAAGAAAAAAATAACACATACTTTTCTTGTTTGGGGATATAATGATGTGTCTCATCTACATTATTAAATTCATTAAAGCTCCATGTGAGAAATTCTGTGTAAAGAACCATACAAATGTAAGGTCTCCTTACTTTAGTATCAGCCAGGTAGAACATATTAAATAAAAAAAGTAAACCTACTTTGCTATGGCAAGGATCTATATAGGACTTTTATATATGTATTTCTGCAATTATTATTATTATTTAAAATTAAAAAGCATATTCATTGTAAAACATCTTATCCAGAAAAGAATAAACAAAAGTTATCAAAAACTTTATCCCAAGTTGATCACTTTTATGAACAATTCTGAATATTTAGCTTTAGTCTCATAACATCATGAAGGGTAATTAAAAAGGGACAAAGGTACTCACATGATACAGAAGAAATGTCAAATTTGGGCTTAAGGGACTAAATTGTGAAAATCTTTTGTAAAAGTTTATGAGAATCACATGTTCTTACTTATCATTTAACCACAGCCTATATCATGTCATCATGGACAGTTAATGGTATTTTTCCATATCCCCCCAAACTGGGAAAATTGAAATTTTTACCAAAGACGTTATAGGAGGCTGATCAGTCCTTAAATATTCCCCCATGCTAGTGTCAAGTGGTTTTAAACTAGCACAACTCATCATTTTATTTCAGTTTAGGGAAATAAGAGATTTGATTGGCATGCTGGGGGTGTGGAGAAGGGAGGTGGGGACTTGGAGAGGGAAAGGTCTTTGAGCTGTCACTGCAATACCAGGAACGTGTCCATCTGAGCAGCCATGCTTGCAGTCAGTGGCACTGGCTCCTGTTTTCACCTGCCACTCCTCCATAATGGTCCACCTAACAGCCATGAGGACATAAATTAACATGAACAATCAGATACAGCAAACGCTTCATGCCTGTAAACAACCACTTGAGTTAAGTAGAAAAGCACCTTGAGACTTTATGAAGGCCATAAATTTGTTTCCTTTTCCAACTCAATTTCTACCCTACAGACACAATGTCTGTTCATAAAACATTCAAACTAGATGCTCAGAAAAGAGGCTGACTAGCCACAGGTAAACTCTACAGACTGGCCAGTCAACCGAAAAATACGTCATACTAATACAATATTAACAACAAGAAAACTTTGCTGAAGAGATCAATGAAGGTCACTAAGTCAATAAGGGAAACAGCACAATAAATGTGTTGGGCAGATGAACTCCCTCAAAATGTGGCGTCAATAGGGGAAAGAGCCATTAAGCAGTTTGGAAGCACTAATAATTTTTTATATAATATAAAATTTTCACACTCAAAATGACCTATAAAGAGAGAAACATTGCCTGTTTTTGGTGACCATTTGAGTCAAGTCTGTCTTATTCATCCACTGCTACCATGAAGGGCTCCCAAGGGCTCAGGGTATGATTCTCTCCAGGGGCTGTGGAGTGCCTGGCTTAGAGCAGGACTTCCATAAATATTTGTGAAATGAATGAATGGTACTAAGAAGAGAAATGTTATTTAATTCACCAAGTGTCACAAAGTGTTTACTAGGGAATTATAAGGGGAAATTAAGAGATCTGTTCTTTTTATTATTGATTTCTGTAAAGTTACCCTTAACATCTGAAATTTATTCAAGGATAAAGCCAATATTCACATTTTACAATGTACAATTACAGCAAATATACCATGCAAACAGTTGGTTATGATATGGCCATTCCATAACTAATCCTGCTTATGCACATTTCTCATACCAAGTTCAGAGCAAAAGCTGAGTCCGAATATAATTTTAAGATGATCAAGTGGAAGCTGCTCTGTGCAAGCACCGTGTAAAATGCAAAATTCCATGAAATCAGAGTACTATTAACATTGGTGCGAACAGGAATCCCGACCAGTTCAAATAGAATTTTTCATTCCTAAGAGTGGGGGCAGAAACATTCGATTCAGGTTTAACCTTAGTTAAAATTCAAAAATTAAATATTAAAAAGATATTGAGGGAACAAGGCATGTATATAGAATAATTAAAGATCTTGAAGCAAAGTTCCTGGAGTACATTTCAGAAAGTAAATTTATTTTTTAGTGGAGTGAGATAGGACAAGCTCTGTTTCAATAAAGGAGATTTGCAAAACTTGCCTACCATTATATCTGTTCCTTTAGAGTTCAGGGCTGTTTACATTTTGATAGGTATAAGATATCAATTGAGACCTCACAAATAGGCTCATTTATGAACAGAAGCTCAGGAAAGCAGTTTCATTTGGCACCAGAAGTACAGCTAGTTTTATTCAAAGTTATCCAAAGGGTTTCCCACTTGGAATAGTCAGATGGTCAAGAGAACACAGGAAAACAGTTAATAGTCTTTGGCAGACATATATATTCTTATTTTCTGATGAGACCGGAAGTGCTGAGCGGAGATAATCGTTAGGCATCCAAGTAAGTAATTGCGTAGTTCGAAAGCAGATTCAGTTAATATACGCAACAGCTTTAGCTAAGAGGCCTAAAAAACTCCATTCTAAAGATAAGCTAAAAGCTCAGCAGGAAAAAAAGTAGAAGTTTCTGGGCATAAGAAGCTGTAACCAGGAAAACTTGGTGTACGTTCATCTCTTTTAGTGGACTGTCCCTACTGAAGCCAGCTATTTAACATTAAAAAAAAATCACAATGAATGAATATTTCAAGATGCAACTAACATGATTATTAGTAAATCACTCTATGAGTAATTGACTAGTTAAAAAGAGTTTGTGTTCCCTAAAGTGAAAGAGGACCTTTCTGCTAAAACAGCGTTGTTATGCAGCATCCCGCAAACAAATACATAAAATAGGGTAAACAAATAGAATAAGGCAAACAAGCAACAAAAACTCTCCAAGGAGCCTACCAGAAATTTTGAATTTTGCCTATACCTGAAAAATATGCAACTTAGTAGCAACTATCCATTACTGAGTATTTAATATAAAAGTGCAGCTAAAAATACCTTCGATTCCTTATGACCAGGGAGACTAAACGTCCAGGTTTGCTCAGGACTGTCTCATGTTAGCACTGAAATTCTTGTTCCCTGGGAATTCCCTCATTCCTGGGCAAACCAGGAGACTGGTCATCCTATGTGCAAATGAAATCGGAAAGTGACAGTACTATGGAGTGACACGGTACTCTCCCAACTGTTATCAATAATCTAGTACCTGGAGGACAGACAGGCCTTCTGCACCTATATTTCTATTTGTTAGGCTGCACATAATCATCAAAACATGAAACATGGTTGATAAATTAGATTGAATTATTTGATTACAAGAAAGCATCAATTTCAATACACTTCACCAA